TATGTCTAGCAATTAGGGTGAGTACTATTCGGTTAAAACCGAAAATTCCAATTTTGATATTTCGGTTTGGTTTTTTTTAATTTTAGGTTAAATCGGTTTAGTTAATTCAGTTTTTGGTTTCAATTTTTAGAATTAGAATTTTGGTTAATTGAATTAATCGAACATTTTATTATTATATATTATAATATATAATATATAATATTTATTATTTTATATATTTATATATTAATATATAATAAATTGAAATTTGATTTCTTAATATATAATATATATTATATGTTATAATATATATAATAGAGTATATATTATTAAAATTCGGTTTTAATCAAAATAAAAACCAAAAATTTTAGTTTCGGTTCAGTTTTGTTTTTTTAGTTCAACTTTTAAAATTTTGGTTTATTCGGTTTGGTTTTTAACCAAATAAACCAAATGCTCACCCCTACTAGCAATGGTGCTTGCCTTCATGGTAGGAAAGAAACAAACAAACTTGAATAGCCGATTGGATCCATCCTGGCCATCCCACGGATCCTGACACGTGGCATAAGCCGGGCATACCCTAACCATCCATCACCAACCACTGCCATCTACTCCCATCTACTCCTCTCAAGCAACTCCAACTATAAAAAGGGGCTCCCACATTGAGGTAAACACACACTAGAACTCAAGCTCTAAGTCTCCTCTCTTGCTTTGTTCGACCCCTCAAAGCCCTTTGCTAACTTGACTATCGAAGCCTTCACCCCTAGGATAAATCCTAGGGCGTTTGGTCTCGAACGCTAGAAATTACGTTGTTGCCCTAGATGAACTGAAGGCAAGATTAGACAAAGCTAAAGGTCTTTGGGTGGACGAACTATACATCATTCTTTGGGCATACCGAATGACACCTCGGACTGCCATGGGTGAAACCCCCTTCAACTTGACATATGAGACATAAGTTGTCATCCCAGTAGAGATCAGCCAATCGATGCTTTGAATCGAGGCATACCAGGAAGACGAGAATAGTGAAGAGTTAAGGAACAACCTCGACCTATTGGAAGGTGTCCAAGGGCAAGCCCAAATAAGGGTCGTGGCATACCAACAAAGAACTTTAAGATACTACAACTCCCGAGTTAGAGGGCATCACTTCAAGGAAGGCAACTTCGTCCTCAGAAAAGTTATGGTTCCTGAGACCGGCATCGGAAAGTTTGGCCCGAACTGGGAAGGGCCCTACAAAACCAAGCAAGTAGTAAGACCTGGCACCTTTTGGCTGGAGCATATGGGTGGAAGACTAGTGCCTAGCACCTAGAACTCTGAGAATCTCTGAATGTACTATCAATAGAGTTGTAAATACTTTAGTGGAAAATTCTAAATGAAAAGTGCATGTTCCTCTCACCTCGGATCTAGGTGCTTGCTGCTTTAGGAGCTCAATCTCCTCTTGCGCTCGTCGAAGCTGCTAGATCAGCACCTCGACCTTATCGCAAAGGCCGACCGAGCAAGAGTCCATCTGCACAAGAAAAAAAAAAAGTATCACATACCGCCAAAAAGACCTCGGCGACATAATGGACTCTAAGAAGTGTACACATTTCTCAACAGCCTTATCCAAAAGTGTCTCAGATTGAATCCATTGAATACTACGTCCAGGACTGGCGATCCCCAAGAAGGACCATGCTGACCGCTAGTTTCCATCTGACACCAAGAACTGACAAGGAGTCCCCCTCTCAGACACTCCATGTCGGTTGTAAGATCCAACGAGTAGTGAGTGGCTCGTTCTCTAGGGGATTAGATAATCGAGGCTCTGCTTGATGTGACCTGCTCGAAGTCCCCTCGAGTCGACACTACTAGCGCAAACTAAAGTCTTTTGGTCTGAGGGTCTCAGGCTGTTTCTACAGGGCACTTCTACGCCAGTGTCTTCTTATGGGCTGCCTCGGCCTCAGCCTGTTGTCTTGTGGCCCCCTCCTCCGGTGGATGCCGAGGTGTGCTCCCGGCATCTCCCTTCCCGATGGCTCTCTTAGATGCCGCCTCCAGCAACTTTGTCTTTCTATTGCCCTCAATTTCTGTAAATCAATGGGAGCGTCTATACCAAGGGGGGCAAGACTAAGTTCGGCCATCACCAAGGCCTCCTCCTTCACCAAGGGTTTGACATGAATCGTCCCGCCCAGCCGAAGCCGATTCATCATAACCTTATCCTCATCGTTGTTGCATGGCGTAATCCTCTCGGTCAACGTGTTTGGGTTCCCCCAATTAGACCGAAAGGACCAACTTTGGGAGCAACTAACGAAGAAGAATTTCTTCTTCCAATTGTGGGCAGATGGCAGGCTGTCTACAACCCTTCCCTGTTAGCCTTGGAAGTACCACAAGTCTTCCCCTTTAGGATGCTTCCTCAATGCGAACAAACTCTGAAATATGTTCAGCATCACTAACACCTCTCAGAAATGGGCCAACACCAATATGGCCATTATCGTCCTAACAGCATTGGGAGTGAGCTAGCTAAGGGTGAGGTTCTAATGGTTCAGGATCTTGGGAATGAGGGGGTGCAAGGGAAACCGCAGCCGAAGTGAAGGTAATGCTCATGGATGCACACCTCCTCTTCGGGAGAAATCCATAACCTATTGCCCAAGTAGGGGACTCTAACCCTATAGTCCCCTAGAATGTAGTGTTTTTCGGCTAATGCGCTAACTTGTCCCTTACCGAAAGTGCTATCTAAGTCAGAGCGGGGGTAACGCCAAAGCATCACACCTTGGCGCTCAGCCTCGGCCCGCTCCTCGGCTATGGGTTCCTCAGTCTCTTCCACGTCTACCACATTAGGGTTTCCAAGAACATTTCTTGAGGCATCAGCCCTCAGCCGCGTGGAACCAATACTCTCATTGGCAAAGTCTGCACTCTTCTAGTCGCGTTCGGCCCCGCGAGGCACAACCCTTTCCCACAACACTTGGAAGCTAGATGTCCGAGAGGAGCTCTTAAAGTCACTACTATCACTCCCATCACTATAGGAGTGCTGGTAGGAGTACTCTAATTAGGAATGTTATAAGCCTCACAACCAGAATCTGAGGCCGACATGTTGGAGGCAAGAACTTTTTACCTAAAGATGTTAATTAAAGAAGATAATCGAGGTGTCCTCAGTAGCTCCAAGGTGGAAGATTTCGAGCAAATGGTGGAGAGTCACTCAACCAGCCTTTCTATTTAAAGAAAAATATATGGCTTAGATCCAACTGATCCAATGGCTACGGACCTGCTGACCTAATAGCCCGAACCGACGGGATCCATGTGGCATCGACCTTGGGAGACGAAATGATGCCAAGAGAATGGGTCGGTTCGCCCATTGACTCCAGCTCAAGGATACGCTAAACCAGACCTCCCCGCACTGTCTCATACACGACTTCATTTAGTGAACCCCGACGCTCGTCTTGCGTATGGACATACGATGGGGGATATCAACACTCGTGCGAGGCACGAACAACTGACATGGATAGCCTACACCCACACGGGCCACGGTCATGTCCCCTCAGCCTGGGATGGTCCTTTGCTGATGTAAAGGGTGAACGAAGGAGCAGTTGTCGCACAACTGCTAAGAAGAGCTTTGCAGCCAAGGTTGACGCCTCCACATGAATGTACTATACTCTTTTCGGCCGAAGTTGAGGCCTCAACACAACCCGCCAACTAACCTCGGTTGCTATGGCCTTGAGAGTGGGGGGCAAGTGAAGTAGGGGTATTTGGCCAACCTGCAGATCTTGACACGTGGCACCGGCTGGATCCATCCTGCCCATCGTACAGATGTTGACACGTGACATCGGCTGGGTGCACCCTGACCATCCATCACCAACCACTGCCAACAGCCGCCACCTACTCCCAACTACTCTCAGGCAACTCCGACTATAAAAAAGGTGCTCCCACATTGAGATAAACACACATTGAAATTCAAGCTCTAAGTCACCTCTCTTGCTTGGTCCAACCCCTTAGAGCCCTCTACTAACTTAACTGTTGGAGCCTTTGCCCCTGGGATAACTCTTAGGGTCTCTAACATCTTGTTTCTCTCAACAAGTTGAACCCGTCGGCCTTCAACTTTAGAAACTATGTTGTTGCCCTTGGCTCCATACTTGACAGCAATAACTACAAATCAAAGTGTTGTGTTGTATTTGATGTATTATATAACAATAAGGGTGACCCAGCTGTTCAACTTAAATGAATAAGGGATGCCAAACCACTACTCTAAAAGAGTGGTTATTAATTAGTGATCTCAAGTTGCAATCTTTTATTAACTTTTCTGAATTAACTAGAGATCAAGAACTAGTGGAGCGTCCCTAATTCTACATATAGATTGGTGGCTCTCAAAGTTAGTTGGTCTAATTAATTCAACACAGAATATATCCTGCCCAAGTGAGAAAAATACAGTATCAGCTTAATGTGAACAGAACATTAGTTATGATCATAAAGGACTTTCCATCTACTCTTTTGACCTTCTCCTTCATATCTGATTAGAAAAACAGGACAGACTCTTCTAGTACATTTTGTTCCCAAGACCCACGTCTGAAATTAATAAGATGGCCATCTTTAAATCATTCCACTGTTCTTGTCTCACTTTAGTTTGAATGTTCTTTCAACCCGGATTTTAATGGTATGAGAATAAATTGCTGAATATTGGTTATTTATCACAAGTTGTTAGCATGAAGTCCACTCTTGAGAGCATAATTGTTCCATGTTCTTACTGTTTGGATCATCATCATCGTCTAAATCGGGTTGACTCGGCTACATGAATTCTGTTTCGCCATTCCGTTCCGTTTAGATAGTGTAACAAAAGAAATGATCATACTTATTCCAATTCGAGGAATCAACAGTGAAGGAGTATTTTTCAGTGATAGCTTAAGAACATGTCTGTTCATTCCACACTGTTAACTTGTTATGTCATACTAATTCATGATCAAGTTAGTAGTTACGTACAGTATGTTAATGTTTTAATTAGCAATATATTTTTGGTTAAAGAACAATTGATCAATCTATTATCTCTCATTGGTGAAAACAGAACAACATAAAAGAAATGAAAATAATAATACATGAGGTCTTTCTGCTTGTCTTCTATGTTGATTTTTATTTATAAGCATTAATGGAACATGGGTTTAGACTAACCCAAGAACCTGACATTCAACTATAACCAGCTACCTACTTTTTTTTTTTTTTTTGGGTTGAGCAACCAGCTACCTACTTGAACCCCACAAAGAGAAGTGTTTTCTTCTCATTATTTACAAAATTGAGAGTAAGAAAGTAGAAAGAGAGCTTGTTTCCAATTGCATGCATTTGCTGTTTCCTTGAAGTTCCATTTCTTTTGGTTTGGAAGGCTCTTTGTTTGCACTTGTTTCCCTTTCTTATCTTCCTTTCCTAAAATTTCCTCTTCTTTCCATGTCTTGTCTTCTGGCTGAAAACAGTGAAGGATTTCTCAGTTTCTTTGGGAAAGTTCTCAGTAGTCCTAGCCTTCTCTCTTCAGAAGACAATCTATTTATGGAAAGAACTAAAAACACCAGTATCCATTTTGTCTGTTTAGACTGGACTTTCATGATTTTGAAAATAATCTGATGGGCAGGCCATTTTGAGGCAGAGCAAATGGGCCATACTGGATTCCATTGTGTGGTCCCACCATAGACCACCTGTAATTGCAAATAGAAAAAAAAAATATCAGTAAACATCATACAATAGGAAACTTGATTTTGCCTACTATTATTGAAAAGTCATGGGCTGTTTGGATGGGTTACCTGTACTTTGTGGTCAAATGATGCAGAAGGACCAAGATCTCCAACTTGGCTAACTCATTCCCAGGGCAAGAGTGTGCCCCATTTCCAAATGGCATGAATGTGTTGGGTTTTGGAGCAACCTGGTGATCAGAGAGAAAGAGAGAGAAAACTGACCTTAGTTCAAGTCCTTTGGAATAAAACAGTAAATATGAAAGTAAGAAAAAAGTAATAGTAATGATAATAAATGCTTATTTTTACCTCAAATCTGGAGGGATCAAATTTCTCAGGATCTGGAAAATTGTCTGGGCTGTGATGAATGTTCCTGAAAAGTGGTAAAACTTTCCACCCTTTTGGTATAAGATACCCTGAAAGGAGGTAAAAAAGACAAAGCAATTCAGATTATGACATCAAAATAGAAAAAGAAGAGAAAAGAAAAGGACTTATTTCTGGAAAGAAAAAACAAAAGAAAAATTTAGAAAATAAAATATGGACATCTTAATTTACTTTTAATATATTTATGATTGAACACCAACCTCCATATTCAACATCTTCAACCGCTTCTCTGAAAGTGAAAGAAAGAATTGAGGCTACTCTCAGAGTCTCCTGTATAACTCTTGAGCTTATTGGCATCTTCCTCGTGTCTGCCCAAGTCAAACTCTTGTCTTCACCTCCATTCTCCTTGCTCTTCATTATGGACTCTTGCTCTTCCTGTAAAGCCAAAACCAGCCCACAAAACCCATTAATTTTTTAAGAGCATTCCTGATTTTGTTCTCTCATGAAAAGGAAAGTCAGAAGAAACAGAGATGTTTTCATGGGTGGGACTTAGTTGCTTACAGTGACAGTTTGTAGGACGCTTGGGTTCTCTCCCAGGTACTTGACAATCCATGTCAAAACACTGGCTGTGGTGTCTCTGGCAGCGAATATGACTCCAATTACGTTGTCTGCAATTTGTTCATCAGTGAGGCCTTCTTTCTCATCCATGAAGGACCCAAGCAGGTCGTTTCTTTCTTCCTTGCTCTGCCTCCTGGAATGGAGGATTTTGGCTACGATCTGAGACAGCTCTTTTCTGGCCTTCATAGCTTTGTTGAAGAGAGTTCCCGGAAGGTTGATGGGCATTGAATTGTAGCCCCTCTCAAGAATGTAGTAGCACCTTTTCAGCTCTTCTCTATAGAGAGCTCCTTCCTTTCCAAATATGGAATGCAGTCCTACATTGTATGTATACTGCAAGAGGAACCAGAATCAGATCAGTACCCAGAAGAACAGTTTGGCATGAAATCATAAAATATCCAGAACCCATATCTAGTAGAAGCCAAGCTTGCCAAGCTGTGCTCTATTTATTGGTGATTGGTGCCCTGTCCTCCCTTCCAGTGAAGGTAAAAACAGAGGAAAACAGGGGAAGAGAAGCTAGAGACAAAGATGGATTCATCTCTGCTTTTCCTCGGCAAAAGCAGAGAGCTTTCTGGAAACTCACCGTCTTCATTTCTTGGAAAGTATTGATCAACTGGCCATCCCACGACTGGAGACAACTGACAGCAATCGTCTCGACATCAGAGACGATGTTCTTGATTGCCTCAGGCATGACAGCCCTCATAACAATCTTTCTCAATTTCATGTGATAGGGTCCCTGATGAAAGAAGATGGCTTGTCTGCCCAACATCCTCTCTTTGCTTGCAGGGAATGTAGGCTTGAAGAGATGAGATTTGGTGACCAAGATAAACTTTGCAGCTTCTGGGCTCGAAATCATCACACAGGGACATCCCAGAACATGAGTCTTGAATATCTTCCCATACCTATAAAAAGCCCATTAAATCAGAAAAAAAAAAAAACAGAAGAGAAGAAGACTGTATTATTATCATCAGTGCACAAAAGAGCTGAGCTAAGTCGCTAACTAACTAACAAAGAGACCAACCTCTTCACTTTGGAAGCGAAGAAGACATTTGGGTTTTGAGAGTAGAGCTGAAAGGTTTCTCCTATATAAGGCCAACCCATGGTGCCTGGCGGCAATGGCAAACTTCGGCGGCCTGAGATGAGCACTCGGGCGAGAGTGAAGAGGAGGAGAAACAGAGAGAGCAGAGAAGCAAAGACCCAGAAGGGTGACGCAGCAGCAACTGAAAACATGGGTGTATCCATGCTGGTATCGATGAGCAGTTGGATTTGTGGAATAACTGGTTGGGTTTCTGATGATTGAACGTAAAAGGGTGTGTGGTGTGTGGAGAAGTCAAGTGAGGGAGATGGTATTTATAGGTAGAGGAGGCCTTCATCTCCTCAAAATTCCAGCTCGATTTCCACCGAGGGAATCTCTCTCCAGCTCATGTCTTGTAAAAGAGAGAGCTGTGAAAGGGGGAGGGAGGAGCACGTGGCAGTTGGTTAGAGAGAGCGTGTGACCCTGTTGACCCTGACTGCGTGCGTCACTGCCCAGAGGAGAGAGAAAGTTGGAGGGAGAGAGAGAGAGAGAGAGAGAGAGAGAGAGAGAGAGAAGGGGACAACCCAACCCAACACCCAAGACCAGAACACAACACACCAGATCCTTCTCTGCAGTACTTCGGGCACAGAGGATTCTCTATTTCTCTGTGGCTTTAGTTACCCTGAGAGGGGCATTTTCGTCCATAGACAATAAACCGAAGGGTACTTTTGGAAATATGCTCTGTATCTAATCTGGCAATCCGGGTTTTGCAGCAGTGTTCGTTGAACATGAGGGAGCGGTGGGATGTATTTGGGGAGTGAAATTGCGAAAATACCCTCCATGTGCTGTACGGTGGCTGTGGGTGGGATTTATATTTTACATAAATAACGGGGTATTTAGTGGAAAGTTGATTTTGTCTGGTAGTGGGGGGGAGGGGGGGTGTTGATACTTGATAGGGCCTAAGGGGGGAAGGATTTGGGCTTTGACGTAGACAGAAAAACAAAAGACTCTGGATTTGGGCCTGACGGGGAGGATGGCCTTTTCGAAGCTTCCGTGGTCATCTCTCATCTGGTTGAGTGAAATAAATCCAGCCTTCTCCTTTTTTCTTTATAATAAATATTTGTTCTTATTTTTTTTTCTTTTTGTGAAGATAAAACGGCCATTGGAAGCCTTGAGGGATCAAATGATCCATGAATAAATTAATATTTTGGGCTCCAATCCCTCTTTGTTAACAGATTTCTTCTGTTTGGTAATTTCTAGCCCGTGGAATTCAAAATCCCCTCTAATTAAGTTGTGGGGTTGCTTGTTTTTTAAATTATGTAAAAAAGGAGAAGATAATAAGCTATTCTTTCACTAATATTTTATGGATTTAATTGTTATCTTCTCCCTGAAATCTAGGTATTGTTTTTTCAGTAGTCAAGGGTTTCAGCTACAGTATATTATCTTACTGATTTTTCTGAGAAAGAAAAAATAAAATGTTGAAAAGAAAATAAAATTCCTAGTTTAATATTTTCCCTTTTATTTACTTCTTCTTTATTAACTAGAAACAATTCATGGCTGTTAATTGGTCAATTTTCTTAGAGGACATCATGAGAAAGCATTTCTATGAAATAAAGGATTTTTTTTAAACCAAATGCCCTTTTCCCTTATTCATGTTTTATCATAAATTCGTAACCACAATATATATATATATATATATATATATATATATATATATATATGTTTGTTTGAATTCACTTAAGATTTTTTCTAAGAAATAGATATATGAAATAAGTAGATTAATTATATATACTTAACTTGCCTTTTAGAGCCATGGAATTTTAGTTTCAAAAATATAATTTAATAATTAAATATGTGAAGTGGGGATTACAACAGCATCAATAAAAATTTATAATATAAGATAATATGAAAACCATGAACCTATTAAATGGGTCAATGATTCAACAGTTTGGATCAATGGATTATTGATTATGTCAATAATCTTTCTATAAAATGGCAGGTTAGGGGTTGACACAAACCAGATAACTGATTGGGTGGCAAATTGATAGGTCCGACTAGATGTATCAATAATGAGTTGAAAACATTGAGCCATACACTAGATGAAAAAAGAAAAATGTTTTCGACTTAGTAAGATTGTTGTACATATGTAATGGAGCTCTGACCCATATAGAGACCCGGCTAGCGAAATTAGTGATTTCATTGGCATTCATGATGTGGAAAGCTTGCCCTTATCTAGGTTTAAAATGTAAGTGAGCTATTGAGCTAAGCCTATTTGCTATCTATTCGAGCTCAGTTCGCTAAATATTAAAATTCCACTCATGGATAATCAAGTTTGAACAAGTTTTCTTTTCGATTTTTTGGTAAAATCCAACTCGAGTGAGTTGAGTGGTTAGTCAAACTCGAGTTCAAGCTTCATAGTATCCAACGACTCAAGTGGCTCATAACCTAGTCAAGTATATAATAAAATATTAATTTTAATGCATTTTTATTCACAATATAAATAGAAATTATTTCTTGATATTAAATTATTTATAACTTAAATAAATAAATTTATAATCAAATTTCATAGTATATTTTTATATTAATTTTATAACTGAATCAAGTTGTCCAGTATCGACTTGAGTCAAGTAGTTCAAGTAGGAAACTTGAAACTCGTTTTTGTTATGATGTCTCAAGTACTATAGTTAAGGTACAAAGTTGTAATAAATTGGAAAGTTTTATTTGATGGACACCAATTCTTTCTTGGTTCAAACCCCTTATCCATTTCATTACTAGAAAAAATAAAAAACTGTAAATGTTTGACTTTGAGACTATAAATGTTGCATCCAATGTATGTTCTTTTAAACATTGATTCAATTAGGGTATGCTTGGTTTGATAGAAATAGAGAGTAGAGGGAAATGTAGAATGCTAGTAAATTTATTGGGTCCACAGACATGACAGGTCTCATCAAAAGACATCAACAACTTTGATGGTAGGTCTTTAATTTCATAGCTCCCACCCATGTCTATAAGGCTGTTTCTAATAGTTGCATCAACTTGTAGAATTCCTCTTGGTAGAACTATATTAGCATTTTTGCTGAAATCCATGGTGCATCCACTGTACTGTGCAACAAATTAAAGACATGATTGATCGAACATAAGGGTAAATATATCTTGTTAAATGTGAAAATATATTTTATAAAACACGAATAAGTAAAAAGTAAGTAGACTTTAACGTGATTGATTGAGATTAGATTTAACATGCAGTCAATATTAATGAATGTAACGAGTTTGATGCTCAATCTTTTAAAATAATAAATGTTTAATTAATTAACATTCTACAATAGAGGACAGGGTGATAAAAGTGAATACACTTAAGACAAACCCTTCAGAAATTTAAAACTTGTTAACATTTAATAACTAATAAATGAGATCCAATTAGTTGGCATCTTAACCTAAATTCAAGATTAGTACACCTAAGTTTGTTTATAATACTGAATATATAAACTAAGAACTTAATATACATGAGTTTTAATATTTTTGTTCTTTTATTTATGGGTTTTGTTAGTCTATTTAAACATTAAAAAACATTAAATAGATAGCAGCAACAATCCCATCAAAATTGATGGGCTTATGTATAGTTGAGAGTTCAACTAATTTTCCTACCATAATTTGCGTATATATAATATAGTAGTTAATAAATACTTCCCTTTAATTTTCTTTCTTTTTATATTCTCCAATTTTATGGTTTCAGGTGGATTAGGACACTAATATTGACCATAGTATTTAAGGGAGACCAAAGAAAAAAAAAATGTTGAGCTAGCACAAATGCATAATAGAGTTGCAGCATGCATGCATCTTTCCAAGTTCCATACGTGGAAAGGAGTCGATGAGTCATTGTAATATTAAATTATTTCAATAATTTATAGAGGAACCCAAATTTCAAACAACATAAACAGTAGAAATGGATCTGAAGATGGACCAATTTGATCCAATCCAATCTGCCTGATAAGACAAGAGGAAGATGGGTGCAACGCTAGCTCATCTCCATTGGCACCCACTATTCTATTTAAACGTTTACAGAAGTTGGTGAAACAGGATACGTTGTTTAATTAAGCTAGTTGACAAACATCACCATTAGTGAACAGGAGCTGCAGGAGACCAAGAAAGAGGAAATTAAATTACAGTAAGAGGTGGTGGTCGAGTTGACCAAATCCTGGGGCTGTACAAAAACAGTAAGAGAGGTGGTTGGGTCGATCCATGGGCGAACGAGTGGTCCGACCAAACCCAGGGGCCGTGGGAAAACAGTAAGACTGTAAGTGGGTGGCTGGATTGATCCATGGGCGAGTGAGGAGTGGCCATGGTGGGTTGGTTGGGTCGTTCTTTCTGTCCTTGCTCTCTACTAAATTCAGTCGGTGAAGGCCGAGCTACAGTTTGCACTCATGACATGAGAGAGAGTTCATGTTCATGCTTTTAACAAAATATGTTAAAATTCCTTAATAATTTTCTATCAACTTTCTATTTCTCTCTTTTTTTTAAACCAAATACAGCCTTGGGGTTGTGCAATGTAAGGAACCAATGGCGCCTACAATGCACACGTCATCAACACCAACACCAAGTAGCTTACTGTGGTCTATATATAAGAAAATAAGAAATATCAAATACTTTTCATGGTACCAACTCTTTTTACGAATTTTCATGGATAAATTGCATACTTTGGTATTCTTCAATTAGTCAATCCATGAGTGCCATCAACTCTCAAAAATAGACACTTAGTCAATCCATTAGTATTCATTTAGTTAAAACATTACATAATGTTAAAAATATCCATTTTCATGTATTTTTTGAGATTATTCTACGGAGTAAAAGTAGCACCAGAGAATGTCATTGTTGGGAAATTTGAATATGTTATTTGTTGTCCATGTGAGAATGTCATCATGGAGAAGGGTAATTTTTGTATTATGTAATGTTTAACTGACAGAATACTAACGGATGGGCCTAAGTGTCTATTTTTGAGAGTTCAGGGTACTCAAGTGTTGTAATTGAAAGTTTAGGATACTTATCTATCACTACCCCAAAGTACAGGGTACTTATCTATAATTTACCCTTCTCATCATCATAGAAGCATTATAGGACTAAACATGTTACATTGGTAACATAATGTTTTTGTATAGTTTAACCTCTCACAGTAACCTTTCTGGGTTTGGCTGGTTAAATGACAATTCTCACGGGATGAATATGCTAACCATCCAATTAATCAGAAACATTATGGACTAGCGAACATTCTGATTTTTAGTCCGATCCAAGCCTCATTGTAGAGCAACTGTCAATTGTTTTTTACAACACT